AATGGAATCCTTGTCTTTTAATTCACTCTCTAATAATTCTCCACCAAGCCTTAATACAAAAGGCTTTTTTTTTTCTTAAGACTAATTGAATGGGGTGTAATTATAATACCCAGGGAAATGATATTGAAAGTACCTTAACTGTGACAGTTTCCTCTGACTAATTGCCCCTTTGTCAACTTGCAAGCCTTGGCTGCGCGAGCTCCCCACCAGTTACTGCACTACTGGGCCAGGACTGAGCTCAGGGGGATCCGGGCACGGTGCTGCTCCTGGGCCGGGATCTCCAGGTCTCTAAGCCACCGATGTGGCCGCAGGGGCTCCTCCGCTCTCCAGGGACCCGCAGCGTGGTCCCACATGGAGAGGAGGGGAGGGGGTGTCTGAGGCAGCCAGGGGCCACGGGGCTGACACCGTCCCACTGATGGAGCGAAGACACGGGGCATCGCACACAGTCCTTGCCACGGGAGCAGGCGTCTGCAGCGACAGCGCAGGGACGTTCCCATCTCCGTCACCCTCTTCCTGGGCTGAACGCTCCTGCTAGAGCTGTCCTGCCTGCTCGGCCAAAGGAAAGCCTCGAAAACACGGAAAGGGAGTGCAAGGGAGGAGTGCCAGCAGCCATAGCGGGAGCATCCTTCCCCGGCTCCCCCCGAGAGGGGGGAGATAAAACCAGCACTACTGCAGGCTGCAGCACTTCCCTCTGAAAAGCATTTACCTGCCGGGAGGGGAGCAGCAATTTTCCATATTTGTATACTTTACCGTGATAGCGGTACACAACAGGCGAGGTCAGCACTCAGCGGAGACACCGAGGGGCTATTTCCTCACTAAACCGTGTATTGCGGTAAGTGAAAAATAAGCGTTAAGGGTGACTATTATGCAGACAATAAAATGTTTTTATATCACTGTAGGTGTCAAGCTCAACACTTCTGCAGAGCGGATCCTTCACAAGATGAGCTGACTGCAAATACGCTGAGCCAAGCAGGGATGCTGCTGGCAGCAGCCCAGTGTTTGGTGGCAGAAAGGGTAGACTTCCACTCTGCATTCGACAATGGGGGCTCGTGGTGCGGATGGGCCCCCCCGAGTGGGGACGGTGCCGACACAGACTGGCCTTGGGGAGCGGTGGCAGCTGGGGGGACGTGGCACGGCAGCAGCGGGAGCCACTGTGCAAGAGAGAAGGGACAGGAGAGGAGAAGCTCCCAGCAAAGCGTCCTGGAGAAATTAATGCATGTTGCTTTCTTTCCCTCAAGTGCACACTCACACAGGCTGCAGCCCACATCGGAGGGAAAGGAGGTACAAAACCAGAGCTCACCAGCCTCCCACCCCACGGTGGCTGGAATCAGCAGGGATGAGGTCTGGGGGGGGGGAGAGGCATTTGGGTATTTCCAGGTGCAGCTTATTTGTGGTTAAGCTTCTGCCACCAGAACCCAGTGGATGCAGCAGGGATCTGCTCCCAGCATGGCACAGCTCAGGCGCCCTTTGCCATCACACACACCAGCACCGGTACCCCCACACAGCCCCGGGCTGCTCGCCCTTCCCACTGCCGGCTCCCGGGCTTCGCACCAGGGTCTAACGAGGAACTCCACAGCCTTGACGAGCCCCTGATGATGCTTTCCACATCTGCTCTGGGATCACCCATTTCTGGCATCTCTCTGGTCAAACTTCCCCGGCCAGAATTCACTCCCGTTCAGACTTGACAGCAGGACACACAGCACAGGATAACAGCAAGGAATAACACCAGCAGAGCGCGGGGAGAGGCGGAGGGATGGGGTACACTCACCACGCTGGTGCAGACAGTGAAGGCAGCGCACGATCCAAGGAGTAGAACCAATTAAAGCTCCCAGCCCGTTAGCTCTTGTAAAGGGCAGAGCAGGAGCAGAGGGAAGAAGCCCCTGCGCACCCCCAGAGGCAGAGGACAGCCACCAAGTGCCACCTTCCCGCAGCCACGCTGAGCCTCGGGGCACGGAGAGCCCCAACACACACACAAGTGGGTGCAGGCAGCAGGGCGCTGCTCCCCCCTCCTGCAGCAGAGCAGCGTGCCCGAGGCACTGAGATACCCCCACTGCCCAGGACACCGCAGAAGGGTGTCCTGTCCACGCTGCAGAGCCCCCCAACAGCCCAGTACAAGCCAGAACAGGGACCAGAGGGACCAAGGGAGGTTGCTAAGAAAGCACAACACAGGAGCATCTTCTCAGTGCGGTATTGCTCCACCCCAGCCCCAAGAGCAGAAGAACCAGAAGCACTGGCTGCTCCCCAGCCTGACCGCCCCGGCAGGGAGGGAAACCTCATCCAGGCACAGAGAGGAGCCGGGGACAGCCCACCTTCCGAATGGGACAACAGCAAGGAGAACTAAAAGCAGTGCCTCCTGCAGCAGCACCCACCACCACACCTCCTCTATTTAAGCCACCTGGGGGCAGATCGCCTATTGCCCCCAGCCCCTCGCGCCGCAGCCTTTAACCCCTTCCCACCCCCAGCCCACGGGGTGCACGGCCCCTCCGGCCGCGGCTCCCTCCTCACCCGGGGAAGCAGCAGCACCTCGGGGGCTGCCCCGGGACGGTGTCGGCTGAGCGAAGGGGCAGGAGGGAAGCGCTGGTTTTTGCAGCCCAGCCCATCCTCCCGCAGCAGCCCCTGCGCGCTCCAGCATCGTCTGAGAGCAGCGGGGTAAATTATTCATGCTGTGAACAGCACTCGATAAAGGAGCTTGACCGGCTGTTTGCTCCTGCCCGGCAGCCCTGTCCCGCGCCCCGCGCCCTGGCCCGCAGCGGGGCAGAAGGTGTCCTGTCCTGTCCCCTGCCCTGCGCCTCCCTCCTCACAAGCGCTGCCACGTGCTCGGGGACAAGTCCTGACGTTCCTCTGCGAGGACAGATCCTTTTTTTTTCAATGCTGAGGAATCTCTTGCTGATTATTCTGAATTTGTTTCTTTTTTTCTCCCTCCATTTGCTGTTTTTAACGGATAAGATGTCCCACCAGATACAGCTCTGCATTGGGAAACGTACAGAAAGCCAACGGTGGGTTTTTTCTGTATCTTTTGTCCATCTTAGTCTTGTCTCCCTCAGGAAGGAGGCTCCTGCCGTGCAGCCCTTCTCTGGATAACTTGTGGTCCAGGCTCGTCTCGCTCCTTTGATGGAGGAAAGCCATCCAAAGGGTATTTTTGGCCATTCAGCTATCCTGGGCCCAGGACAGAATGCCACCGCGCATCCAGCGCTGTCCCACCAGGAGCTCAGCGACGTCCCGATGTCAGGACAGCGCGACGGCCTCGGGCGCACAGGCAGCTGCCGCCTCCTCCTCTGCAGGTCTTTGACCTCTGCTGCGCCTCCAACCAGTCCGGGCAGTGCAACAGATAATAACAAAAAACTGTATCCAAACACTTGACAAAACACGAAACCCCTTGGCTGGGTAAGACAGCAGCCGGAGCCACCCAGCGCCCGGGACAGGACAAACGCTGCGGCAGCGCTGGCAGCACATCAGCGCCCGTGGCCCCGAGGCACGGCGACCTGCCCACTGCAGCCGGAGGAGGTTGTCACTGGTCAGATCTCGTCTTTGTGTGGAAATGGAGAGACACGGGCAGACTCAGCCCTGAGGCAACGGCAGTGAAATCGAGAGGAAAATCAGCCCATTGAGCATCACCCGAACTGTTCCTCTGCACTTCGGCTAACTGAAAGAGTATGCCTTTTAACGCAACGTGTAATTGGAGAGTGTAAGTCACAGCCAAAAGATTTTATTGAGCCAGAGAATCAGATAGTTGCATGAGTAATGAGAGCGGCCGCC